TAAGTATTATTATTATTATTATTATTATTATTATTATTATTATTATTATTATTATTATTATTATTATTATTATTATTATTATTATTTTGATATGCTAGATACACAAAAATAATTTGGTGGTTTAGTGAATTTTATTCAGAGATTGATAAAAAAAAATTCTCTTTTGTTGTTTTTAGGAAGCAAGGATGACGAGGACATCTGGTTCTCCTATTGCATCTACTGCTGATCAATTAAGTGGAATTATGAGAACTCTGGAGACTATGACACAAGTGATGCAACAACAAGTCCAACGAGGAAATAATAGAACGGGGGCATCAAACCATACTAGGTTGGGAATTGAACAGTTTAAGAAGCTTAGTCCTCCTAGTTTTAGTGGTGAGCCTGATCCAATGACAACAGAACGATGGATGATGCAGATAGAAAAAATATTTGATGTCTTAAATTGCCCTGAAGACCAAAAGGTTTCTCTTACTGCCTTTATATTGGAAGGAGAGGCCGAGCACTGGTGGAGAATGATTAAAAGGATTTATGAAATCAAACATGAGCCAATCACATGGAAGGCATTCATAGAAAAGTTCAACGATAAATATTTTTCAGATTGTATTAGAGAGCAGAAAGAATTGGAGTTCTTGGATCTCATCTAGAGAAATTTGACAGTTGCAAAGTATGAATCCAAACTCACTGAGCTCTCTAGATTTGCCACTCATATAACTTATGATGAAATTAGAAAAGCAAAGAAATTTGAAAGGGGTCTAAGGCCAGTTATAAGAAGTCGAATATCAGCATTAAAACTCCAAGCTTATGCCGATGTGGTCGAAAGGGCTTTGATAATTGAAAGAGACTTGGAGGAAATTCAAGAAATCAGGGACAAGAAAGATAAGAAGTTTATCAGCAAAAGTAAGAGAGGGAATGAATCTGAAACAAGTTATAAGAGGGTCAAGATGTCCAGATTTGAGAAAGAAAAACCACCACAAAGGACTCATTCATGTGCTAAATGTGGATTAAATCATGAAACAAGTCAATGTTTTCGGACGACTAGAGCTTGTTTTGCTTGCGGGAAATTAGATCATAAAGTAAGAGATTGCCCACTGAACAAGAAGAAAGAGCCACTGCCTCCTAAGTCAACAACCCATGTTAGAGTATATGCTATTACTGAACAAGATTCCAGAGCCTCTAAATCAGCGGTTGAAGGTATTCTTCATGTTTCTAAAAGAAATGCAAAAGTTTTGTTTGATCCTGGTTCCAACGTATCTTTTGTTTCACAACACTTTGCTTGTTACTTGGGCATTGAACCTAGACCCTTGGATTATATGTTATATGT